CACACACAGTCTCTATCACACACATTGTGTCACCATCACACACACACACAGTCTATCACACACATTGTGTCTCACTATCACACACACAGTCTATCACACACAGTGTCACCATCACACACACACACAGTCTCTATCACACACATTGTGTCTCATCATCACACACACAGTCTCTATTGCACACATTGTATATCTCGCCATCACACACACACACACTCCGCGTCTTCGTCGGTATCACACATACAATCTCTCCCGCTATCACACAAAGACAAAGGTCCCCCGTACAGCGTTCACAGACTGTTGGGGCAAGTGCTGTTAGCGAGCACGGCACACGAGTGGGTGGGTGGCCTGCATCACGCCCGACCGCCTTCGTCTCTCGAAATGGCGATTGTTCACATTCCGAGCCAGGTACTCGTGTGAGGCTCAGTCAACCCAGGCGAGATAACCCAGGACCGGTTTACATTAGAATAATCAAAATCGACAACCGGTGTTGGTTGGGCCGTGAGAGTGAAGCGGGAATCGAACTCTGCCCGCCGGGTTTGTCGGGGAAGCGCGCTCACCGCTGCACCACCGCTCCCTTCCACCCAACTCACCACCACGCATGCAAATCCACCCACAGTTGCAATACGCTCACTGCTCGTTGGTTAACGCCTGATTCCGTTCATCTCGAGGGGTGTTTCTCATCAATTCCGAGACGGAACACAGACACACAGAGAGAGAGAGAGAGCGGGGAACAATGCGCGTTGGGGCATTGAACGACGCGTGTCCACCTCTCATCGGAACCCAGGGGTCGCTCCGAACCGTCGTTCCATCGGTGCTTGTGGCATTGTCAACTCGAGTCTCGGGTAATCGCCTTCCCCCTCGTGCTTAGCGCCTCTCCTCTCCCTCTCTCTCTCCCCACCACGGCGATGATAAACCGCCTGGAGGCGACTTCGCTAACATTGCGTTCCATTGCGACTGTTCTCAAATTCATAAACACACGCGCACACATGCGCAGAGATAAAGGCGCAGCCCTGCAATGGCTTCATGACGCCACTGCTCGCGGAAAGGCCTCTCTACTTGACGGAGATCTAGATGAGACCCCCCCCCCTCCCCCACACACTCGTTTTTGGCCTACTCTTCCACGTTGTAATAGATGGGAGTACCCACATTTTACCCCATCTCACGCGACCTGCCGCTAGACTAACTGATACAAACGTGCATATTCTTCCAGAACAGAAGTCCCATTACCCACGTAGCGGTTCGGATTCTTTCAATTCTGTTCAACGCCTCGTCACATCCGCTGTCCCGCACATAGAGACCCACAGACTCACATACAGACCCATCTACTGACATACAGACCGATAGACTCACATAGAGAGCTGTAGACTCGCATAGAGGCGCGTAGACTCACATACAGACCCATCATAGACTCGCATACAGACCCACAGACTCGCATAGATACACTTACAATATCACACAGAGACCCGTTGACTCACAGCGAAGGAGAGACACACACACACATTCACGTACGTATGTTGAACTTCTTTCGCACCGCATGTAGCCAACCGCACGAGAAACACACAAACGTACGTTGGCATACTGATACTCAGACACAGACACAGACGCGCGCAGCCTCACGTCAGAGACCCACTGACGTACATAGAGACCCTCACAGGCATACTTCATGAGCTCTTGAGAGCTCCCTCGAAGGGAGGGCCCCCCTACGCCAGCAGTGGAGAGAGCAAAGAACAAACGAGGGCCCCACGATGCTATCAAAAACGACGACTGTCTGTGTGTGTGTGGTCACAGAAGTGTAAAAAAAAATCCGTATATTTAATAGGTGGCGTTTCGAGTGATGCCCTTTCTTCGCATTCTTTTCATTTTGAAGGCCGCACGGTTTTATTGACGATTGTGTTGAGTTCATTTATTTGAAAAATATATCACTGTGTATATATGTATTGTTGCGGCGGTGGTGTGTGTGTGTGTGTTCTCACACTGGCCGTAAGCTAACGATCGATTTATAAATATCGCACGGGGAGGTTATACATAACAGCGGACCCAAACGCCAGCTGTAATCCCCGCGTATAATGCCTTTGTTTTATTAATAGCATTACGACTGTACTACGATGATGAGTGGGATTGATTATTTTTGTATTATACTGTACCAGTGTCTTTGTCTCTGTGTGGTGGTTAGGGGTGGAAGGATTTCGGGAGGTCTGGGTAGGGTGACAATCTTCACGACTCGTGCGTGTTAAAATATGTCGCGTAGTAGCATACAACGTGGGTAACACCTACAGTACATATGTGGACTGTAGTGTGTGTACTAAATTAGTACGTGCGTGTTGAGGTGTGTGTGTGTGTATGTGTGTGTGTAAGGGGGCTCGCTAACAGCACTTGATTCTGTGTTCCACAATCTTAATGTGTATAACTCATATGCAGAAATACGCATTATTGTTACGCACAAGATATGTGCGTATAACACAGTGCATAAAAACACAACATGTTCGCAATACAGCATATACACAAACACGCCATATACACGACATATCAGATACAGTACCCACAATGTATACAGCACAACACTTGCACTATGTGTAAATAGCACAGCAGATACAGACACTGTGTATGTAGAACATCACATACACACATCCCATATACAAAGCTGAACATACACACAAAGACAAATGTCCCCGAATAGCCTTTAACAGAATGTTGGGGGCAAGTGCTCTTAGCAAGCACCTATCAAGTCCGGCACGGCACACCAGGGGTTGGGTGGCCAACACCACACACGGCCGCCTTTGTCTCCCCAGTGTTGATATTTTATACATATCACACCAGGTTACTCGTTTAAGACTGAGTCGACCTTACGGTTGACCATGACTCTTTCAAATATTCGCCACTGACGTGGGTCGTGAAACACACACATGTACACAGCATAGCATACACCTACCCTATGTACAGAAAACAGCATCAGTATATGCACACACCATATACAAACCATATATCATGCAGTGTTTACACAACACAATGGCATATGCACACAGCATGCACACAGCACAGCATATACACACAGCATGCACACAGCACTGCACACGTACCACCGGTGATATTGTTGCAATGAAACGGCTATGTGTACATCTTACACGGTTAGCATTGTACATACACACACCACGTACATACGCGCGCGATTTTGTAGTCAGCTGTTGAACACGACGGCCAGCTATTGCAGAACAGCACTCTGTACCCCGTTCTGTATTCGTACACAAATTAAACAAATCTAACATTTACTCGAATTGTGAATGTTGTGGGTTTTACTCTCCAACGCAGCGAAATTGGCGTGTTTTGTTCACGCGACAAACCTTAATAACGGGCCGTGTCGGGTGGTGGCGGGTTTAACGACACATTCATATTTGCGAGATCTAGGAGTCACATTACATGCAGTCCATTAGACCTATTCGTTTTAGTTGGACACAATATGATCAAGTAGCAGCATTTGATCAGGCAAGGTCACTCTGGACCGGCTTCGACCTTCTGGGTCTCATCAGTAGAACCAGGCTCTTTAAAGAAACGCCGCCGGATGAACACGGGTTGTTGGTGAGAGCACTCCATATACACTACGGGGAGCCACCGGTTCAACGCAATAACGCAATGAATGGCGTGCTCGCGATCCCTCAACCTCGTTATGCGTTTGCTGGGAGAGCACGAGGGGGTTGGTTGCCAGCACCACGGCCGGTCGCCTTTGTCTACCCCCAGTGGCGATGTTAACACGCGGCACAAGGGTACTCATTTGAGGCTGAGTCGACCTAGGAGAGGCCCAGAACCGATTCAGATAACATTGGAACTCGGCTCGCAGCGTTCGGGGCGCAGCGCGTTAACCTTTTGCACGAACAGCCCCACCCCCTCGCCCCCCCCATACGTTTTAGAGGAGCACACACGCACATATATTTGTATTGTAGAGTACAATATATATGGTGTATAGGTAACCCATTACAGCCCGACACTCCCCACAACTCAACACCAACAAATCTCGTAAAGACAAAGGTGGCGGCGGGGGGGGGGGTTGGCGAAATAACGCGATCATGTCACGGGTGATGCATAGGGCCCTTAAGGTTTTGAGTGCGGGACAAGTGAATTAAAAATTACGGGTGAATAGGGTAATGCCGATGTCAACGCTAACCAAATCCCAGATGGATTCTCAACCCACAATCTCCCCCCCCCCCCACTTCCAATCCCGCCCCCCCCCCTCACTCCATGCAACGCACGGCTGCGGTGTCGCTGCGACGGAATTGATACGACTCGGTCGATGTTTTAGGCCGAGACCATTCGCACGCAACACTCGCGTTTATAATAACACGAAATAAAGACGACGAATAAATTTTCGTAAAGAATTAATGCCACAAGGTAATTGACCGGCTAAAGACGGCAGGCAATTTAGGCGACTGCAATATGGAATTGCTTGGAGGTACAATGTACTTAGCAGGGCGATTAATCATAGCTAGACCTCCCCCCACCCCACTTCGCTTCTCAAGCCAACTCAACGCAACCCATTCCGTTTCCCTCCTCCGGCCCGCCCGCCCGCCCTCCCCCCCCCTCAATACATTACAGCGGTAATTAATGTGCTGCCTCTTGTAAATGCTTCCGAATTAAGCGGCGATACGAGCGGTACATAGTTAACGTAATTGTAAACACGTGTTTCCGTGCGCGCGAGGTGGCGGTCGTTTGTTGATTCATTTTTCCAGCCCTCCTCCTCTCTCTCTCTCTGTCTCGCGTGAACGGCCGAGGCCCTGGGATTGAAAATTCGGTCGGTGCGCGCTCACGTGTTCCCCCAGGTTTGGAGAGGAGGAGGAGGAGGGGAGGACACACACTGCCAACACAAGTATTATAAATGTTGTTGTTGTTGTTTGTTTGTTTGCGACCGTCAGCGTTGTGTTTATATAGCAGGGAGGGGGAGGGAAGCGTGATCGTACACGGGAAACAATGAGCAAAGCGAATGCAAACTACAAAACCAGCTTCCAGGACGGTGCGTTTTATCGTACGATGTTTATTGACATGTAGACTAAAGACTACCAATTACAATGCACCTCTTGTTGTGATGAAGACAAGTAATACTGCACACGTTGCTCTCTTACAACCCAAGTCCCCCACCAAACGCCGACCCCCCCCACCCCCCGCACACACACACACCGCCCTTAAAAACATATAAATATTGACTGACCTATTGTGTTGACTAATACCAGCTAATAAGTTACATTCCAATAAATAGGATAACCGTGTAATGTATTTTTTTCTTCACATTTAAAAGTTATTCACGAACAATGACGCCTACGATAATGTCCGCTATTCCATGACAATCACTATGCCTATATATATAAAAATGTTACCAGACAATGAAAGGAGATATTTTTTTTTCCAACATCTAAATATATACATTACAATATACTCTGACATGTGGTACTGAGAATGACTTTGGCACGATGTAAATTTGTTTGTGTTGTGTTTTTTTTTGTTTCCTTTAACATTACAGTTATATAGTTATCTTTTACAAAACAAGGTACAATAAAATGTCAAGATCCATTCCTGGGGGAAAAGTATACCCATCCGCCCCCCACCCACCCACCCCACCGCCCCCCTCCCCAAAAAAGCACATCAAATATTCACATCCGCACGTTAAAATAATATTAATAATTATTATAGCAACGTGAACATCAACAGCAACATCAACAATCAACAGCAACACACAACAGCGACATTAACGACGTTTGAAATCAAACTCTGCACCCTCTAAACGTCAAATTAAACCATCTCCGCCCCGCCCCCACCCCCGGCCCAAATAAAAAGAAAACTCCTTAGTACAACAAACAAATTGTGTCACTGCAATAGTATATAGGGCGTTATGCCCATCGCGGACAATATACAGCACAGTTATGTACACTCGAAAAAATAAATACTCCAGTCGATTAAATTAATAAGTTCCAGTGTTCCGTGTGAAGGGAAAAAGGTGGTGGGGGTGGTGGTGAGAATTCGGGGGGCAGGGAGGGGTGGGGGGCTCATGAAGTTGAGCGGATGAGATTGGAGAGAGGTGGGGGGGTATGGGGTGGCAGAGTTGAATTTCCTCGTTTAATCACCGCCAATGTGCCACCATCCTTGCCCACAACCCCATCGCGCACCGCATCACTGCCCGGCGGCGTGGTTAGCTTCCCCCTTTCTCCTCCTCCTCCTCCTACCGTGTCTCTCTTTCTCTCTCCCCAATATCTCTCTCTCTCACTTGGCTCGTAAAATGAAAAATCATAATAGTAATCGCAACAACTGCGGCGAAGGACTCATTGCAAACGTAATCAGGCAGGAGGCAGCCTTAGTAGCGGTAATTGCAGAGCGCCGGGCATGTTTGCAAATGATCATTACGTGCGCGTTCCCAGTCCAATTCCCAGAGCCCTTGTTAAAGCAAATATCGGGGGTAGGGAAGGAGAACGGAGTATGGGGGGGATGGCGGGGGAGCGTGATGGGGTGGGGGGGGTGATGGTTATGTAGGAGAGAAAGAAAGCCCGAGCGAAGCAGAACGGGGGAACAGCGCGGCGGTGTCTCGGGGCAAACCCCACGGCGAGCGATGCCGCGTGGCCGGGGAGCCTCCGCGTCTCTCCTCTCTCTCCCCCCCACGTTCGGCAGCGGCATCAGACGTACCACTCGCTAAAGTTGGCCGAAAAGAAGGGGGTGGCGGGACAAGGGGGTGCCCCCGTGTGGGTGCCAGGGACCTGGGTGGGCTGAGTCGACTGGTGCGAGGGGAGCGGACCCCCCCCTCCTCCTCCTCCTGCTCCTCCCCCCACGACTCCCCCGGGAGGTTGCTGCTGCACGCCGGCGCTTGCGGCAGCGGCGGCGGCGGCGGCGGCCCCCTCGCCGCCCGCGGGGGACACGAGGGACGGCGGCGTGGATGACTCGTAGCCCGAGCTGGTGGCTGGGGAAGGTTGCGAGCCCTGCGGGGTTGATTCGTGAACCTGGAAAGAAACAGGGAGACCATATTCGTTGTTTTTTTTTTAATGCTTGTTATCACCATTGGCGCTTAACGGTTTGGTAAATACTGATAATTGTCATTTGAGTCTCAAGGCTCTAGTCTTGAAGAGGGGCCGTTGCCCGAAACGTCCCCTATATGTGGTTATACACACCACGAGGCACTCATTTGACGGCTGAGTCGACCTAGGGGAGGCCCAGGGCTGGTTCAAATAATCGTCAATGGTTGTCGGTGGCCGTGAGCTGGATTCGAACTTGGGTCGCCGGGTTCGTAGCGCAGCGTGCAAACCATACTACCGCTCCCCCATCACCCCCACCCCCCCCCCCCCCACACACACACAATTGTGAGTACTTTACCATATACATAATATAAATTCGTATTCATTTAAGGCTGAGTACCTGGTGTGGGTGTGTGAACATCAGTACAGGGGAGACAAAGGCGGCCGAGTGTTGTTTGCTGGCCACCCCCCAACCTCCGTCGTGTCGGCCTTCATAGGTTCTCGCAAACAACACTTGCACCCAAAATCCCGTCCGGGACTATACGGGGGACCTTTGTCTGTGCACCTACATATATGTGTATACGTGGATCGGTGGGCGCAGTGGCTAAGGCAAAGCGACTTGGAAACCCGCGCCCGACCTGATTTCCGTTCAGGGCCAACGGCCCAACGTTAGTGGCGCGTGGATATCAGAAACGGTGCCTCGGCCTCCCTCCCCTAGGTCGACTCCGCCCTAAACAAAAAACGAGCGTAGACATCGGCATTGGCGAGCACAAGGGCTGATGGGTTTTTGTGTGTGTAATGTTTGAAAGCGGCCGCACCCACCCACGAACCTCGTGTAGGCTCCGTGACGGTCTCATCAATAGGCGCTCGCGAACTAGCGCGCCCTTGCCTACGCAGGCTACACGGGGGATCTTTGTACGTGCACGCGCGTGCGTGCGCGCGCGTGCGTGCGTGCTGCACCGCAGTGGAATACTCGGCGGCGACACGCGAATCCTTTCCATTGCAAAATGGCCACGCTGCTAAGCTGCGCGATCAGCAACAGCAGCAACTTTTAGGGTGTCGGGGGGTGAGGAGGGGGCAGGAGGGGGGGGGGGGGGGTACCCCCCACCCCCCCCCCACCACCCCTCAACCCCCACCACCACTCCCCTTCACTCCCATCCCAATCACCCGTCCCCTCCATCTTCCCCAACCTCACCGACTGTTCCCCGCGTCTCAGACCTCCCCCACTCATCCCTCGCTTCCTCGCCTGCCCCCTCGCTCTCGTGCGTGTGTGTACACACACGTGTGTGTGTACACGTGCGTGCACACCCACGCACGCGTGCGTGTTTTACACACCACACCAGGTGCTCGTCGAAGGCCTGAGTCGACCTCAAAGAGCCCCAGAATCGGTCCAGTTGTGTCTTTGTATGCACACGTGTGTGTGCATGTGTACACATGTATGTGTACACGTGTGTGTGTCCACAACATGTGTATCCGCGTGGTTGTGTGTTCGTGTACCGCGGCATTACTCGACCGGAAAGCCAATGTAGGCTACACGGGGGATATTTGTCTTTGTGTACACGCGTGTGGATACCTGAATAGCGCAGGGAGCTGGGGGTCTTTGTGTACACGCGTGGGTTTGTGTGTGTGTGTACAGACGTCTGCGTTTACACTACACTATACACGTGGCGTGGGTGTTCGTGCATCTGTACGCGTGTTATGTATCCGTGTGTGTGCACACGTATGTATAAACACCAATGGCGATTATCTGAACCGGTCCTGGGCCTCCCCTAGGTCGACTCAGTCTTAAAATTATTATCTAGGGAGATAAAGGCGACTGGGCGTGGTGCTGGCCACCCACCCACTCGTGTACCGTGCCGGCCTTCATAGGTGCTCGCTGACAGCACTTGCCCAAGGTTTGTTAAAGGCTATACGGGAGATCTTTATCTTTGTGCTTGCACGCCGCGTCAGGCACTCGTTGAAGGCTGAGTGGACCTCAGGGCCGGTTCAGTTGCGTGTGCGTACAGACACGTGTGTGTATGTGTGCGTGTGCATACACGTGTGTGCGTGCGTACACGTGTGTATGTGTGTGTGTACACACGTGCGTATGCACACACACGTGTGCGCGTTGCATACATGTGTGTGTTCACACGTGTGTGTGTGAGTGTATACACGTGTGTATGTGTGTACACACGTGTGTGTGTGAGTGCATACACGTGTGTATGTGTGTACACACGTGTGCGTGTGTACACGTGTGTGTGCTTGCGTACACGTGTACACACACACGTGTGCACGTGCGCGTGTGTATGCGCGAGCGCGCGCGTGCGTAAAATAACCTTGAGGTGCTTGCGCAGCGAGCTGGGGTGCGTGTACGACTTGTCGCACACTTTGCAGAAGTAGGGCTTGTCCGACGTGTGCACGTGCATGTGCTTCTTGCGGTCGCTGCTGTTGGCGAAGCGGCGGTCGCAGCCCTCGAACTCGCACTTGAACGGCTTCTCGCCTGCGTCGGTGGGTGGGGGGGGGGAAGGGCGTCAGCGGAGGGGGTTGCGGTGCAATACTCGAGTTACGAACCAGATGAAGGCTCTCCCGTGTAGCCTTCAACAGGCCTTCGGGGGTGGGGGGCAAGTGCTGGGAGTAGCAGCAATCATTGAAGACCCGCAAAGACACAAAGACTATACACGCACGCAAACACACACACACGAGCGTACAAAGACTCCAGTCGGATAGCCTTCAGACTGTTGGGGCAAGTGCTGTTAGCGAGCGCCTGTGAATGCCGGAACGGCACACGAGGGGGTGGGGTGGCCGGCAGCACGCCCGGCCGTCTTTTTATCCCTCGCGGCGATGTTTACACGTCGGACCGGGTACTAATTTAAGGCTGAGTCGACCTAAGGGAGGCCCAGCATCGGTTCGGATAATCGCCAGCTGGTGTTGGCCGTGAGCGGGAATCGAACTCGGATAGCCGAGGCTCGTGGCATAAGGCGCTAATCACTACACCACAGCTTGCCACGCACATGCAAATATACATATATACACAGTATACACATGCATAGACACGCACACATTCATATACAGGACAATAAAACAATTTACGGACGGGCAAATGCTCTGAGCGAGCTCGGTTTGCTGGCGTTGGCCGTGAGCGGGATCTCGAACTCGGGACGACCGAAATCTGTTGCATCGGTGCGCCCCAAATTCTCAAAAACTCACCACGACACTGCCGCTCGCGCAAATCTGCACAAGGCGACAAAGTTCGGCCCTTCACAGCTTCACGAGACCATTGCGGCAAGTGCTGTTCGCGAGCGCGCTTGTGAAGATCGGCACTGCGCACGATGGTGAACGTGCAGCCGGCAATGCGCCAGCTATACCCATTTCAGGCTGAGTCGACATAGGGGGGGATGCCCAGCACCGGTTCTAGTCGATCGAGCGCCAGTTTTTTTTGCGGCCTCTCGTATCAATGTGGTTCAGGTATTCGCCACTGATGTTGACTGTGAGCGGGAATCGAACTCAGGTTTTCTGAGTCCGTGGCATAGTTTCGCTCATCACTAACAACTACCCCACTCTCCTCGTTACACACACATATATACACTCGTACACATATACCGATGAGCACACGTAAATTACTGTACTGTACACGATAGACACGTACAAAGACGTACACACATGAGTATTACTCACATACAATAACAATAAATCCGCTAACATAGGTGCGTACGACGTGCATACGCAAATCAACAGCGTCTCTTATTTAAACACGCGCATACATGCATGCGCACATGTACACGTACATACAAAATACAAACATTGCCCCGTATACACTTTAAAACTGTTGCTGCAAGTGCTGTGAGCGAGCACTTCTACAACAAAGAAAAAAGACCCCCGTATAGCCTTAACGTACTGTTGGGGGCAAGTGCTGTTAGCGAGCGCCTATGAAGGCCGGCACGGCACACGAGGGGGTGGGTGGCCAGCACCACGCCCTTCACACGCACGCACACATATACACAGACACACAATTGTTCAAGCACCGATTATATTTTTAGATTTAAGAAACGTGTAGGAGATGTTGATTAAGTTAGATCTATTTTTTAATTCTTCAAAGTTCGCTAAAATAACGTTCAGAAACTTGTATTTCAATCTAAATAAATAGACACAAATAGTATGATTGACAGATCGCGAAACCAATCACGCACAAAGACAAATCTCCCTACGTGTAGCCTTAACAGGCTATTGGGGCAAAAGCTGTTATTAGCGAGCACCTATGAGGGCTGGCACTGTGGCACACGAGTGGGTGGGTTTATATCAGCACTACGCCCGGCCGCCTTTGTCTCCCTAATGGCGATGTTTAATGCACACGCGCACTCAATTGGGGCTGATTCGACGCGCACACACACACTAGTTGATAAACATAAAAACATAAATTACGTCGCCTTTCCGACCCAAGATAAAAGCCTCCTCCCCCCCCATCAATCGTGATGAACCGGACCACAATCGGCGGTCCACTGCGCGGCTATTGCCACTCATCAGCAAACCCAGTACGCATTGCTGTGTCGATGAGCGGTATTCTGTGCGCGCTCCGGGTAGGCCGGGCAAGAGTCGACAGAAGCGGTTTGAGTGGAGAGTTCACAACCTGTCAGTACTTAGTCCTACTTGGGGTTCTATCTCTCTCTCCTACGGGAAGGGTCAATAATGCGTCTTCATCCATGGCACCTGGGGTCTGTCCCCGTGACCTCTTGACATCAGCGAGCCTTCGACGCTTACCGTGACGTCCTCAAACCGAACCTCAAGCTAAACTATATATTTGTCTTAAATATTTTATCAGGTAATGCCCCACTGAGCTGTATGGCTTTTTATATTATTGGTTCTTTCGGTAAAGTCACGTTGAAGGGAAACAATAAAATAATAAAATATGAATCACTGCAGTCACGAAAGCTTTAAATAAAAATGTATTGCTTTTGTTTAGAAACCACCTGGCCACAAATGATAGCTCAACGAAGTGGCTTATCACGTGGAAAACGCAATGTATATAGCAGCCAAAATCTCTGAACGCGTGATGTTTGATTTCATATACGGAGGTTAAACCCGGAGGACCCGGAGAACATTTCACGCCACCACTGCGGGAGACACGCAAAGTCCAAATATACAGCAGCAGGCATAGTCAGAGTCGGGATAGAACCCACGACCTCCTGTATACCAGGCGAGGTAGTTAACATCTCCTAGCCACCGTGATTGTGTTGAGAGAGACACGCAAACCCCAAATATACAGCAGCAGGCATAGTCAGGGTCGGGATAGAACCCACGACCTCCTGTATACCAGGCGAGGTAGTTAACATCTCCTAGCCACCGTGATTGTGTTGAGAGAGACACGCAAACTCCAAATATACAGCAGAAGGCATCGTCAGGGTCGGGATGGAACCCACGACCTCCTGCATACGAGGCGAGGTAGTTAACATCTCCTAGCCACCGTGATTGTGTTGAGAGAGACACGCAAACCCCAAATATACAGCAGCATGCATCGACAGGGTCGGGATGGAACCCACGACCTCCTGTACACCAGGCGAGGTAGTTAACATCTCCTAGCCACCGTGATTGTGTTGAGAGAGACGCGCAAACCCCAAATATACAGCAGGCATCGACAGGGTCGGGATGGAACCCACGACCTCCTGTACAACAGGCGAGGTATTTAACATCTCCTAGCCACCGTGATTGTGTTGAGAGAGACACGCAAACCCCAAATATACAGCAGCATGCATCGACAGGGTCGGGATGGAACCCACGACCTCCTGTACACCAGGCGAGGTAGTTAACATCTCCTAGCCACCGTGATTGTGTTGAGAGAGACGCGCAAACCCCAAATATACAGCAGCAGGCATCGTCAGGGTCGGGATGGAGCCCACGACCTCCTGTACACCAGGCGAGGTAGTTAACATCTCCTAGCCACCGTGATTGTGTTGAGAGAGACGCGCAAACCCCAAATATACAGCAGCAGGCATCGTCAGGGTCGGGATGGAACCCACGACCTCCTGTACACCAGGCGAGGTAGTTAACATCTCCTAGCCATCGCGGCCCCCCCCCCATCCCGTCACGAGCGCCGTGGTGACGTCACCGCCACTTAGTGGCGAACGTGCGGGCGTTGTTTGTTGTTGTTTACGCACTGCGTACGTTGTCTTTGTGTATTGATGTCCCAGCAGTCGGCTCAGGTTAAACGTGGGTGTATTGGCGTGTCTCAATTGTCGATGCTCGCATAGAGCACTTGCCCCAACAGTCCGTTCAAAGGCGATGCGTGGGTGTCTTTTTGTCTTTGCGCATGTATGTGTGGTCTGTGTGTGCCCACGTGTGTCTGTGTGTGCCCACGTGTGCGTGCATGTATGTACGCAATGATGTATGAGTTGGGGCGTGTGCATGTTGTGTGCGTTTGTGTGTGTATCGGCCAGTACGCATTGTTTTTTTTAAATGTGACTCAGTGTGCGCGCGAGTGTGATTGCAACGATTGTATGTGTATCTGTGTCTTTGTGCGCGTGTACAGGTTTGTGAATGTGCGTGTGTGCACGGTATCTTCTACACGGCTGTGTGTGTATGAGTGCGTGTGTGTGGTGAGTGTGTGGGTGCGTGCATCCGTGCGAGTCTCTGAGAATGCGTGTGTTTGTGTACGTGTAGCTCGCGAATCGGCGCACATGCGTACATCAGAGCACATGCGTGTGCGAGCCTGGAGTTTGTGCAGTGGTCGAGCGCTACGCTGCGCTACGAACCAGCCAAACCGAGTTCGAGTCCCGCTCACGGCCACCAAACCAGCGATTATCTGAACCGGTTCTGGGCCTCCTCTAGGTCGATTCAGCCTCAAATGAGTACCTGGTTCGGTGTATAAACAATCGTCACTGGGGAGACAAAGGCGGCCGGGCTTGGTGCTGGCTACCCACCCCCTCGTGTGCCGTGCCGGCCTTCGTAGGTGCTCGCTAACAGCACTTGCCCCTACAGTCTGTTACGGGCTATATGGAGGATTCTCGCTCACGGTCACCAATACCCGTGACGATTTTCTGTACAGGTCGACTCTGGCTCGTTGACCAGCGTGGTGAAATATGGTTAAACAAACCCCCATGTGTATATGTGTGTGTGTACTGTATGTATATGTGTGGAACGATAGTGTAGCGGTTAGCGGTACGACCCCAGTTCGATTCCAGCTCACGGCCAACACCGGTGACGGATATCTAAACCGGTCCTGTGCCTCCCCTAGGTCGACTTAGCCTCAAATGAGTACCTGGTGCTGTGTGTAAACATCGTCACTGGGGAGACAAAGGCGGCCGGTCCTCGCTAACAGCACTTGCCCCAAAAGTATGTTAGGGCTATACGGGTGATCTTTTGTCCGTATATAAATATAATAAATTTGACATAAACTGTTACTGCTATATAATACAACGAATCTGGACGCGGTGACGTCTCTTAACTATGAAACATTTACGCTCATTAAAACTGTTGCGGTTGAAACACGTTAATTGAGTTTTATCTTTCGATTACCGACGCCCCCCTTAATTGGATCTCAATTATCGGCCATTTCAGCCCCCCATCTCGCCAACTTTAAGCAAAGCTCGCTTGCCATGTGTGTGTGTTTTTTTTAAATCATGCACACACTTACGGAGGACAGGATAATATGATTATTAATAAGACGAACAATCTGTGCGCTGCGATGGTGTAACGTGCGACGTGTAAACATCGTCACTAGGGGAGACAAAGGCGGCCGGGCGTGGTTCTGGCCACCCGCCCTGCCTTCATCGCTGCTATTCGCTTACATCACTTGCCCGAAACGTCTGTTGAGGCTATACGGGGAAGGGGGGTCTTAGTGTCAACGCGCGCTATCAATAAATTATCAAATGGATAATTATTATTCATATAATTACTATGATAATCAATTATCATTACACATGTTGTAAGTTACAAGTCAAACAAGGCAGTCCGTCATGGTATTATTATTAGTATATTGACATTCAAAAGCACAAGCATCGACCGGGGCGATAAAGCAGCTACTCACGAGCGGTCAAACTGCAGATTTCAAAGTTGGCTGTCTTGCCCAACGCGATATCTAACGCAGCCCTTGAGAATGCCTTGTTACGGACTAAAATTAAATAACAACAGTTTTAATTACTCGTTTCGTAGGTACCGTTTACAATTACACCAAAGTGTTAGGTTAATTTGCGCATGTACTCGCATGTACAGAGTAGTCGTCGTAGTATGTACACAGTGCATATGCGTAATTATTATATTGCCCTTATATTGCGTTTGTTTTTAATTTGTAGAAATTATACGATGTTACATTGGCAATAGTTGTGAAATTATCATGGGTTAATATTCTTCAAATATCCGCTATATACTAAATACATGAAATTCACGGTACAAAAATACAAGCGATTTAATTGTGTCAATAAATAATATAACGCCTAATTCTTTTTTCTTTCAGTGCAAACTAAATACACAATTACGCAAAATATATATATCTGTATTTTGTACAATTTGCAATTTAAAAAAATATATAAATAAACTTAAAATACAACACGGTCCTCTAATTACGAAAACAAATAATTCCCAAAATAAATGTTACCACTTCGATAATATATACATATATATTAAAGCATGCTGCAATTTCATCACTACATTCTCGCTAAATAATGCCCCCCCCCCACCACTCCGACCTCCACAACAAAACAATTGTCATTCACAAATAGGGGGGGGGGGGGGGCTCGTGCTTATAGAGTCCACTCACGGATGCCCTGGCACCCACAGCGGACCAGACCGCCCGTCCCCCTTGCCACCCCCTCGCCACCTCGTTAGTCCAAAGATAAAGACATCAGCTACCCCCAATTACGGCTGCTCCGAGTGCACGTCTCGAGACGCAGCCCTGCGCTGTGTTACGTTAGCGCCAGGGGTTAGCGGATCGCGAACCACGATCGAGCCAGCCTCGTGCCCTCCACACCCCCCCCCGCCCCCCGTTATTGTCTCGCCTCCGCGCTCACTCGCTACGTGCCTAGCCTGAGTTGAACACCGGTCCCAGCTCTGCCCCCCCCCCCACCACCTCCGACACCTCCACCCCGACTCCCCCCAATCATCCCTCAATAACAAGTCTCGACCCCCTCGACTTGTGCACGGTTAAGGTTCGTTGTCGACACGAGGCACGCCTTGGACTTAGAGCGGGTCGCCATTATGGCTTCGACGGTGCTGATAAAAAAAAGACGCAGCGTGTGCTGTCCACGACTTCTCACATGCCACCACCACCGCTCTACTTCCTCCACTTCTCTACCTTTCTCCCACCCAAACCCATGCGCCCAAAAAAACCTATCGGCCGCACATCTGCTTTCCATTTTGACGCCGTAAATTCATCCAGAACGGCAACTCGCGGCACGCTCACGAAGCGTGCCGCGAGATACCAGCCACTCGAATCCCCGCCTCCTCCACAAGCATCCAACATCCATCTGCACACACAGGCACGCAACTCAGCCGAGATCTCTTCTCTAACTCATCACCCTCCCCTCCTCGACACACACACACAAACTCCCCTCCTCTCACGCCTCTCTGAGTGTCCGTCACCCGGGACCCCAACTCGAACCGTGGCCCATGGACCTGAAGAGCGCAAAAGGAATCCCAGCACCGCATCGGATGGGGCCCACGTTCTTGTTGTTGTTATTGTTGGAAGTTCTCGCAGACGACTCGCTTATTTACGTCCCGCGGGTAGTTAGTTTGTAAGCAATGCGCGAAGGCGATTTTCTTTCTTCTTCAACAACAACAACAACAACTACAAAAAAAAGAGATTTATCTGCGGCGGTGACGAATAACTCGAAGCGACACATTGAGGACAGCGGCGGCTCACACTCGACCACGCGTGCTCACGTCGCCACGTTGTGTACACTCGTGTCTCTGTGTATATATATACACACACAGAGAGAGAGAGACACATACATATACACAGGTGCTGTTCGCCAACAGCACTTGGCCCAACAGTCGGTTACACGCTTGATGTCCGTATTTGCATTATAATCGGGGGGGTGTGATACACATCCGCGCTGTGTACACAACTAGGGGGGAGGGTCCAGGCTATAGGCTAGCAGTAGAGAGTGTCGCGGTGGTGCCTGCTGACCGTGGGTGGATCGTGAAACGCGAGATTGTACCAATGGGGCGAGCAAAAATCGACGACAACTTCATGTCGCAAAGATTGCCGGGCCAGCAGCAGCAGCAGACGACGATGCCGCCACTGATAGAGCCGCAAACGCGCGTCTCCAGATTGTTTGTAAACAAGAACACAGCAAAACAACCCCAGCCACCACCACCACCACCACCACGGCCGGAGACTTTCTCCCAACCCCGCCCGGCCCAAAAACAAACAGCAACAAACAGCAACAAAAGTTTGACAGCGCACGAGCTGCAAGCACAGCGCATAAGGAAATTAAAATAATTGTACAAAAAAATGTTTTGGTTTCTGCTCGATGATAACAGGACGGCGAACGTAACAGCGAATAGCATTTCAGTAATTATAATTGAAATCACAATTGTTTATAATTTGAAGCCAACAAAATAATGTTTGGCTTAAACGTGAAAACGTAATTTCTATGTATGTACAACACTATGTATGTATTTGTGAGTGCCATGTGTGGTTTGTATAATTGTGTGTTTGTGTATGTTATGTATATGAGTACGAATGTGTATGTTTACATTAAATTTTGTTGTGTATGTGTGTGTACGTACGTATGATTGTGTGCATGTATGTACGTATATTTGTGTGTATGTGCGTACGATTGTTTGTGCCTGTTTACGTGTGTATGTATGTAGTGTGTGCATGTGTGCGTGTTTGTATGTGTGTATGTTAACACATTGACTTAAAAGCTGTGCGCACAACGCCAATTCCGCTCGTACTCGCTAAGTACTTTTGCACATTTCTCGTGAGCACGTGCGCGCACACTCATGTGTACACACACACCCGTAAATGCACAGACGTGAGCGCACGTACACACGAACAGAGACGCGTGCACACACGCACATCCCGTAAACAATCACGCACATGTAGAGACACACTAGTTGCAACTGCGAGCAAACACATACATTGCACGCACGCCCACACACTTGTAAACAAACACACACGCGCACGTAAATGTACGTACACACTGGTAAAGACACACACACAAACACATGCGTTCTCACGCGTAAAAAAAACACGCACACATAGGCGCGTGCACGCGTGTAAACACTCAAAACACGGCTCGTAGAACATTCGCACTCAAACGCAACGCATGCTTACGGACACGTACGCATGAACGTGTCCACACGTGTGCACACACTCACACCTAAAAACACACACACACACACATACACTCGCGAGCGGAGTGTCGTTTACCTGTGTGCGTCCTCTTGTGTATCTTGAGGTTCTCGGAGCGAGCGAACACCTTGCCGCAGGCGGGGAAGGGGCACGGGAAGGGCTTCTCGCCCGTGTGCACCCTGATGTGGTTCACCAGCTTGTACTTGGCCTTGAAGGGCTTCCCCTCGCGGGGACACTCGTCCCAGTGGCACACGTGGTTGGCCTGCTCGGGCCCACCCACGTGCTCCACGCTCAGGTGCGTCACCAGCTCGTGCATGGTGCTGAACACGCGGTTGCAGGGTTGTTTCTTCACCAGCTCCGGCTCTATCCACTTGCACACGAGCTCCTGCTTGAGCTGAGGGCGCAGGTAGCGGAAGAAGGCGCCCGCTCCGGCCGCCGGGTGATGGTGATGGTGGTGATGATGCGCGGCCATATTCACGTAGCCGTGCAGCGGCGCCCCAGCCGCAGCCGCGTAGGGGTCTCCTCGTCCGCCGGCCACTTGTCCGAAGCGATCGGCCCGTCCGTAGGAGTCATTGGCGAGGCCCAGGCGCAGTTGCCCGCCGAGCAAGTGGGCGTTGGCGGAGTGGTGGTGCGCGTGGTGGTGCGGGTGGTGGTGCGGGTGGTGGTGGTGGTGCGGGTGGTGGTGCGGGTGGTGGGGATGTTGAGCCGCGCTCGCTTGCTCGTGCAGTCCCGGGAAGAGGAGGTGTCCCGCTGCGGCCGCCGCCGCGTCCAGAGCCTGCTGCCCGGAGAAGCTGCCCGTGGGGGCGAAGACGCCGTGCTGAGCGGGGCCGCCCGCCGCCGCCGCCGCCGCGTCTCCGAAGCCGCAGTTGCGAAAGAGAAAGTCGGAGCGATTGGCGGCCGAGGCGCCGAAGCCCGCAGCGGCGGCCGCCGCAGCCGCCCCGTACGAGCCCACGGGCGCCGGGTGCGCGTGGGGTCCGTGGGCGCCGATGGCCGCGGAGTAGCCGGCCGACGCTTGCGACACGAACGCCGACGGCTGCCCGGCGCCGAGCTCCGAGCCCAGCTTGAGCGCCGCGGTGTCGCCGTAGCCGTCCATCGCCGCCGAGTCGCGCTCGCACGACTCGCCGGACGCCGCCGCGTAATGGCGCACGGACGCCGGCCCGAAGCCGAGACCCAAGGACGGGTACTGGGGCGCCGCCTCCAGAAGCATCGCGTGCGGTGGAGGCGCTCGATCGGCGCCGCTCGCGAGCAGCCCGAGTGAGTGAGTGTGTGTGCGCTGCCGTGTGCGCTGCGTTGTCCGTGTGTGTGTGTGTGATGTGTGGCGAGAGAACGCGTGTGTGTGTGTGCGCTGCCGTGTGCGCTGCGTTGTCCGTGTGATGTGTGTGATGTGTGGCGAGAGAACGCGTGTGTGTGTGTGTACGCTGCGTTGTGGGTGTGTGTGATGTGTGGCGAGAGAACGCGTGTTTGTGTGGCGTGGTGTGAGAGTGTGTGTAAGGGGCGGGCAGGGGAGGGGGGGATGTATCTTATGGTAGCGCTTCGTTCTCTGGCTGCCGATGCTGGCTGGCTGCGTGGCGTGAGCCCCGCACTCGATATATATCTTCTGTTTGAACCTTCCGTCGATGCGAACGGACTGGAGAGGAGAGTGGAGAGAGAGAGAACGGGAGAGGTGGGTGGAGGGAGGGGGGGGAGAGATACACGAGAGCTCTCGCTTTGAGGCTATCCGCTACCTTCGGAGCGGTGCGAGAATGGAGAGAGACCGCGGCGTCTCGCAGTCACTTTAAAGACGGCGCTTCGGTAAGTTCCCTCTCGCGGCGGCTTCTTCATTAACGAAACTACGTCGACTTTACACCGCTGTGGTGTTGTTCTCGCAATCTCTAAAGCTTCACCCCCCCCCCCCACCCACCCACCTTCTTTATCTATCTAAATAAAAATACGAATAAAACTTCTCTCGTACGGAAACGCGCAAAAAAAACCACAAATGAAGATCGATTCTAAAAAAAAAATAGAATAACTTGAGAATAGTAAACAACAACGACAACGACGATCTGCTATGAATTCGCGACGAGCGCGCGGAGGAGAGAGGAGAGAGCGGGACAACGGAAATAAAAAGGGAGCCTCCGTTCGCAAAATAGTTTTTTTGTTGTTGCAACAAACCAAATAACAGTAAGTAAACAAAAATTTAAAATAATATATTCGTCCTGCCTATCTAATAATTCCCACCCCCCCCCCTCCCCTTTTTTTTGTCGATGGGTTAACCGAGTCCGGCGCTCGCCCCGTTAAGTACGGGCGGAGTGGTGAAGAGACGCCGAGAAGTCTCTGCGATGATGCGGTGGCGAGAAGCGGCGAGAGGGCGCGGAGCCTCGTGCAGAGAGAGAGAGAGAGAAAGAGCGAGCGAACGAGAGAGAGAGAGAGCGCACACTGCACGACGAGGAGGAGGAGAGAGTAAGAAGAAGAGTGAGCGGAGAAGGAGGAGTAGTGAGAGAGGAGAGCGGTGGAGATGCAGAGCCGTGGTTAGCTCGACGTCTCGGGGATGATCGCCTTTGACGCTTCCAACAGATAAATGCGCGCGACAGATAGGCGCCTCCCGCTGATGTATGCCACTTCAAAGCGATTTCCGCCGCGACACGTGACTCGCTCCCCGCTCTCCCATTGGCGCACTTCGTCCAAAAAACGTGGCGAGAGAGAGGGGGAGAGAGAGAGAGAGAGAAAAACGAGGACGCGGAGGAGTGGAGCAAGGGGGGGGGGGGGGTGTGTGCTGGTGGTGGTGGTGGTGGGAGAGAAAGAGGAGGGAGGAGGAGGAGGAGGAGGGAGCGAGCGGGTGATGGGGGAGTTGGAGGGAGAGGCGAGGCAGGGTGAGGAGGGAGTGAGGCGGGCTTGGGCTGGATGCCTGCGAAAGTGGGCGTTGGGGTTTGTGGAGCTTTTTTGTGTTTTTTTGGCGGGGGGGGGGGGGGGGGGTGCATTGAGGGAGGGAGCAGAAGCGAGGGGAGGAGGAGGGGGGGACGTGAGGATGAGGATGAGGGGATTGGGAGGAGAATGGGGGAGAGAGAGGTGGGGGGGGGGGGTGATTCGAAGAGCGGTGGGTGGTGTTGGTGAGGGGGGACTAAGGGGGGGGCTTCAACATGCAGTTTGGTCGCCGCTTCTGATTGGCCCTCGCTGACAGGTATACACCGTCTAGAGCGCGCTCGAGGAGCGAGCCTGCGCACGGGTGTGCACGCGCGGGGTGTGTGCACGCGTGGTGTATGTGCACGCGTGGTGTATGTGCACGTGGTGTGTGCACGCGTGGTGTGTGTGCACGCGCGGGGTGTGTGCACGTGGTGTGTGTGCACGCGTGGTGTGTGTGCACGCGCGGGGTGTGTGCACGTGGTGTGTGTGCACGCGTGGTGTGTGTGCGCGTGGCGTGTGTGCACACGTGGTGTGTGTGCACGTGGTGTGTGCACGCGTGGTGTGTGTGCACGTGGTGTGTGCACGCGTGGTGTGTGTACGCGTGGTGTGTGTGCACGCGCGGGGTGTGTGCACGTGGTGTGTGCACGCGTGGTGTGTGTGCGCGTGGCGTGTGTGCACCCGCGGGGTGTGTGCACACGGGGGTGTGTGCACGCGTGGTGTGTGTGCGCGCGCGTGGTCTGTGTGCGCGCGCGCGGTGTGTGCGTACGCGCGGGGTGTGTGCACGCGCGTACGTACACAGAACATGATTTTATATCAGGGTGGTGCATTTACATCGCCGCCGTTAACGATACGGGATTTGTCGTGAGGATTTTTTTTATTTGTTAGTATTTTGAAACATTCCCCGTCTTTCAATTACAATCTGATGATGATGATAATAATGATGATAGTGAATAGTCCATTAAATAACACGCACGCAACGACGGCTTGCGAGTCGAAGTTACCCGGTTGCCCTGCGCAGGTTTGGTTCGGGTTTGAACGTTGCCCGCACGCACGAAAGTTTGCATCACGGCTCTACTGCTGGTCCCCCCCCTCCCCTCGCCCTCCCTCACTCCCTTGTAGCGAAGTCGCCCGGGCTTTTGCGGCGATACGGTTTGGAACATCGCGGGCAACACAAATTTTGCATCGCACGTTGCTCGTAGGAAGGAGACATCTCGAAAGTGATGATGATGTTGGGTTTTTTTTTTGTTCATGATACACTTAACGCAGTAAGCCGGTCCCGCTCGCTCGTTCACTCGCTCGCTCGCCCGCCCGTTCGAGACGCGAAATGCCCCCATAGAGAAATGCCCCTATCGAGAAATGTCCCTATCGAGAAATGCCCCTATCGTGGAGACGGTCAAAGTCGATTTGCTCGTTTAGCGCGTTGGGCAGGGCGCTGATGAGTCGCTGCTGTGGCCGTTGCTGCCGCTCTCCGCCGTCGTTGTGAATTCGCTGAACGCGGTCGCGTCGGTTGGAGATGCACGCAGAGCGAAACACAGCCGCGTCCGTGTGCGGGCGCGGGGTGCTGTACGAAGACGACCTTCGATGGCTTCCAACCACTTAGCCTGGCACCACGGGTAATGAATGTAGCCCCAGTTCGCCATCATCATCAATGCATCATCAGCCAAGATGAATCCACTGCTGGACCAAGTGTCCCGCCCACCCACCTCCCCCCATCACCACTCCTCGCACCAAACAAAACCTTCCCCGTCTCTTCGCGATCTTGCACTTCGGGTTGACCGTAAATTTAGCAGCAGCGACGGGTACACGGCCCAGCGTATTTACACACGCGTACATGCATACCGTATACACAATCGGCAACATACGTGCGCACATTACGAAGCGAGCATGTATGTATACATATATACATGTGTGTGTGTGTGTGTTGCGTGGAGGGCAACGTGAAATGCATTGTGACGTTAGATTTATAGAGCGGCGTTTCGTGTTGTGTTTTGTCGTTATAAATGCGCGCGCGTGTGCGGGGGAGCGGTCGCGTAGTTGCGCTCTACCGGTTCCGGGCCAGCCCCCTTAGGTCGACTGAGCCTCAAATGACCACGTGGTGCTCTGTGTAAACAGTGGGAGACAAAGGCGGCCGGGCACGGTGCTGGCCACCCACCCCCTCGTGTGCCGTTCCGGCCTTCATAGGTGCTCGCTAACAGCACTTGCCCCAACAGTCTGTAAATGCTATACGGCGGGGGGGGGGGGGGTCTTTGTGTTGTGCGTGTGTATGTCACGCTACCCATAATGCAGTGTACAATACAGAGACATACCGGTGGTTACCCGGTGTGTAAAAAAAAAGTACGTGGGAAGGACGCAGCACTGAGGTTGGCAATTTTTTTATTTCAATTACAGACGTTTGTTATTCATCTACGAACCAAATGTTGCGCCGTTCAGAAAAGCACACTGGAAATTAGAATTAGCCCCCGCTGTCAAAAAATCAGTTCTCTCCGAGGCGAAATCTTCTCATTTTGCCCGATGTGTGCGGCTCTCGTAGAATTTTTCGTATTTTCCGCAGTGATGCTAAAGATACGATAAAAAAACCCCAACAAAAACAAACTCCATCGTGCACATTTTCTCGAAAGTAGCCACAAATAGGATGCTAATTGTCCGCAAATGCTAAACATAGAGAGACAGGCACTGGATACATAAATATTCGCACGTGCCTAGAGCGTGGGCGTCTTGCAATGTGGAATAAGGTGAATGTGATATGTGTGTGGTGTGTATGTGTGCGTTTTATGTGTGTGGTGTGTGCCGGCCTTAATTGGTGCTCGCTAACAGCACTTGCCCCAACAGTCTGTCAAGGATGTACAAGGGATCTTTGTCTTTGTGATATGTGTGTGGTGTAGGGGTGTGTAGTGTTTTCGTGGTTTGTGTGCGATGCATCTACCAGTCTTCTCAAGTCAGCCAACCCGTAGCACCTAGGTCAGTTCCGTGACCTGCTGACAGCTACGCTGCGTGTGCACCTAGCCTGGCACAATCACTGTGGTGGCGTCACCTCCACTCAGTGGCGAGCGGCTGTTGTTGGTGCGTACACGATGGTTCGGGACGTGTACCTAGCTGGAGAGTGGTATGTGCCGAGCGGTGCATACCCACGTGCTGTGTACTGGGTGGCGCGTATTCGCGTGAGCGAATACGCTGCGCTACGAACCCGGCTACCCGGAGTTCGATTTCCGATCACGGCCACCCACACCAGTAACGATTATCCGAACGGGGTTTCGTTGGCCTCTCTCTAAGTCGACTCGGCCTTGAAACGAGTACCTGGTGCGGCGTGCAAACATCGCCACGGGGGAGACAAAGGCGGCCCGGGCGTGATGCCGGCCAAGCCACAGAGTCGTGTTCTGTGCCGGCCTTCATAAGGTGGCTTTGCTCGCAAAGCAGCACTTGCCCCCAAAAGTATGCTGAAGGCGATAGCGGCGGGATGTTGTGTTTTTATTTAT